TATATTTTACATTTGTAATGTTGACTTTATTTGTTTGTTTGAAAATGTATGATTTTCTACAATTTTAATTTTCCTAAAATTTAAATATTATTGAAATGTTGATATGTATGATGTTGTGTTTTGAGTAAAAGAACAGAAATTAAATGAATAGGCCTGCTTGCCTACACGTATAAAAAATAAGTGTGCATTATGAATATGTATGTGTTTTATGCATAAATTCCATAGGGAATATATTAATAGTTAGGGTGTATAAGAGGAAAAGCGAAAAAAAAAACGAGTTATTTTTTAGGTACGAGTAGGTTTGTATATAAATAATTTGTGGAGGAGGATGGGAACTTTAAAAGTGTTGAAAAATTTTCTATTTATTATTTTTATTTATTTTATTTTCTTTCATTTTCATACATATTCATATATGAATCCTTTATTTTGTGAATCCTTTAAAATCACTTTCGTATTATTTTTATATATACATACTTATATAATAAAAGTATATATTCCATATGAGTATATGCACAAATTAAATTTTTTTTTTGTGTTGAAATTGAAGTGGTGCAGTACTTATGCGAGTTGAATAATAATTAAAATTAAATATATATACATACATATATAAAGAGTAAAGAATGTTTTGTGTTATATTTTTTTTACTGTTTTATTTGTAGAAGAAAAAAAAATGAAGGTGCTTTTTGAATAAAGTGGTATATAGAAGTGCATCTAAATACTTTAATGTTTTCATATATATATTCCATATGTATGTAATAAGAATATGTACGTATGTATTTATGTGTATGTCTTTGTACAAGTCTTATTTCAATTTATTTTTATTTTTTTTTTTGCAGTTTTTACTTTTGTTTTGTAACAAATCCTGTGAATTTTCATAGCACTTGTAATGTTAATAATAAAAAAAATATGATATACATACATATTATAAATGTACATTTAAAAAATATTATGATTATTTATATCGGTATAAAAATATAAAATTTCTAACATGTACATATGTATATGTATGTGTATATAGATTATTATGTGCATATTTATTTAAATATAAAATTAAAGTGAAGTGTTTATAGAATTAAAAATTTTCAAATAAAATTTTAAATAAATTCTATTTCTTGTTTTTTGAGTATTTCTTTTTGAAAATAAAAAAAGAAAAATACTTTATTAACGAAATATTAAAAAATCACTTATTATAGTTTAAATAATTTTGATATTTATGAATGAGAAAGTTTAGAAATTTATTGGAATTTAAGGAAATTAATTTGGAAATTAATTTTTTAGTGGGGAATTTTTCAATTTTAATATTTAAATTCAAGTATAATTAATTAATTTAAAAAATAATTGTGTTCGCCAAAAAATATGCAAAATTTTAATAAATATCAAGAAAATTTTTTATATAATTAGAATTTATTTAATTGAATTGATTTATGAATTGAAAAATTTAAATTTAAGAGATAATTTGCAAGCTCAAAAAATATGTAATATTAAAAATTTTAATTATAAATTTTAATCATTTAGAAATTTACAGAAAAATTGCTCTTATATATTCATTGTAAAATAAATCATAGTAAATTTTTTAATTTATTTTCCATATTAGATTCAAGGAAATCTATAAAATAATCCTAATAAAATTAAATTAATTGAAATTTAGATTAATTTAACTGAGATTTAGTTATAAATCCAAAGATATAAAAACAAAAATCTAAATCATATTAAAAGTAATTTTTTCCTAATAGTTCCAAATTTTTGATATAAATGCAAAAATATTGAAAACAGTTGACATTAATATAACAATATTAAAACAGTATTAAAACATCTGAACAAAGTAATAATTCTTTGTATATTGAACTTGTATATTGGATACTTTGTATATTGTATTTTAAATTTCTCTTATATCAGCGTTCAGATATTCCCTTAGAATCTTATTTGCATTTTAAAATTATTTTGTTTTATTAGAAAATTCCAAGTGTTTTGAGTATCAATTTTCAGATCTCCATTTTAACAAAATTTAATAAAATATGATAAAGTTGCCAGTATTATAAAAACTTACTGAACGAAAATGTCAACTATCTAGATAAAATTATGAATCCTGTTAGATTTTTGGAAAAATTTCTTGTATATATAAAAATAAATCATTGTAAACTTCCTTCATCTAATTTCTCAATCTTATAAAATTTTTCACATTATTTAAAGAAATTTTATTTGTTTTACGTAAGCACACTATTGTGGCCGACTCTCACTGAAATGTCATGCATGATATGCGATGTCAATAAATGTGATATGCCTTTGAATCACAATCTGTACCAAATTAAGTTGGAATATGTTTTGCCACATACCATATAAAGATTATAGTATAAAAATTTCTTACAAATTTCTTATTTTTACTTAATATTGAATTTATTTTAAAAAATTTTATTTATTTTTTGTTTTTTCCTTTCTCTTTTTAAATATACTATGTAAAAAAAAACAAGAAAATTCTTTTAAGGAAAAAGAAAAATGAGACAAAACCACTTTAAAAAAAGGCACTTAAAAAATATATTTAGAAAAAAAAAAAGAAAATCCTTAACATTATTTTCATTTTATTTTCTCCTATTATTAATTTTTACTACTTGATTTCATATTTTCTTTTTTTTTTTCTCTATTTCCGTATACATACATACATACATTTTTATAATACATACTTAATATTGTATAAAAATGACATCAACATAATATCAATAAATCTCAGTGACAATTACCCTAATATACATTATTAATATTTTCAAATATACTATAACGTACGTACATACGAGTACATGTAGTAATATAATATAACATTATAAATATTATTGTTATACATGTATATATATGTATATTAAATTCTCAAATGTACATAGGTATATAATTATTATTATATGGATTTCGAATACAAAATCAAGCTAGTGATTTATGAGGTATACTTAAAATTATGATATGTCATTTTATTCAAGGTTTGAATTATCAAGAGTTTAATGCTTTTAATTTCTTTATATGTACACAATAATACTAGAATAATTTCTCTATATACATATATAAAAGTATTATATTTTATAATACTTAAAAAATAAGTGTATCTACATAATAAATTATTAAATATACAAGTATGTAAAAATGTATATCAAAATATAATATGCAGGTATATTATTGCCATGTTTTCATGGTAACATTTTCTTAAGCTTGATCTAAATTATGGACTGGAATATTATATCATAATATCATGTTATGCGTCGTATTTAAGTATATAACAAGAAAAAGAAAAAAAAAACCGGTTTGTATAACATTTTTTTTTCTCTTCATTCTTTTGTCTCTACAGTTGATTTTAATTAAAATAAAAATTTTTTTTAAATTTTATAATTTATTTTATGTTTGAAAATATGGAAAATAATTTGTTAAATTCTAAATAGGAAAATGAATATTTGAACTTTATTCTCTAAAATTACAGATAATTTTTAAATCAAAATGCAATGAGAGTAGCAAAAAAGTATAAAAAACAAATTTGAAAACAAAATTATTTTTATTAAAATAAAATTATAAAAATAAAACTTAAGTATAGTATACACACAATTGGACATTAAATAGTCTGAGAGGTTGCAAGTTGAAAATAAATTTTATAACTGTAAAATTGAATTGAGAAAATAATCAATTTTTATTTCTGTACGTAATGAAAGGAGCTACTATACTTTTTTTATTTTCAGTGTTGACTTTAAGCAATTTTTTAATCTACTATACGATTTCTGTATACTTGTGTCCCAATAATTTTTAATATACAGGAGCGAAATCGTATTTTGGAAACCATATTACTATTGGAATTTGAAATTCAAGTTATACTCAAGTTTTTCAATAAAGTTTCGAATTAGTTTTGGTATATCTTTCATTTCCTTTTTAAAGGGAATCTTTTAACTTTTATACCCAAAACTACAAATTTTTTCACAAAAATTATAAAAGAACAAAATTAATATTTTGATTACTATACATATTAAGACCGGCATGTTGCAAAAATTCCAAATTGAAATACCAAGGTTAAAAATTTAATTGAGTAATTTAATGAATCTTGTGAAAAATTTTATATTCAATTATATTGCAAGTATTTGCAAAATAAAAAATATTTTGGAATAAAAAATTAACCATTGAGGAAGTAATAAGATTTAGAGTACCTCACAAAAGCATTTTTTTGTAATTTGATGTCCGATTTATCACTAATGGTGTTGAAAATGGTAATGGTAATTAAATTATATTTTAATTAATAAATAAATTCAAAAGTTTGTACAGTAAAGAAATATGTGTGAGGTTTATTAGGTTCTGTTTTACCTACAATGTGTTGTACACAAGGGTTAAAATTAAGAAAAAAACATATCGTTAAACATAATTCCAATGTAGAATGGATTTTTTTTTTTTAATTAATTCTGATATTAAATCTGATATTAAATTAAAGTATATATATATATAATTTAATAATTCATAATCCAATTTTTCACGTTCACTAAAAAGATCATTAAAAAAATAACAAAAAAAAATTTATTACGGTTTAAGTTTATCAAAACAAGATTATTAAACAATGCATTCTAAAGTAATTATTTTTAATAATTATAATAAGAATAATAATGGCAATGGAAAATTGTAAGTCCTTCAAAAAATTTTTTTTATTATAGTAAATTTACTTCATATATTAAATACAGTAGAATTATTTAACATTCACTTTATTTTTTGTTTCTTTTTTTTTTGTTTTATGACATTTACGAGTATTCTTTCATTCTCAATCCTATTTTAATGGCTACATATAGTAATTTTGAAACACTTATAACATTAAGCCATAATATATATATATATATATATATTTTCGATATATGTATTTATGTATAACATAAGTGATAAAAGAAGTTAAAAAGAGACATGCGTTTTATTTAGTTTTATGCGAGGGAGGAAATAAGGTATATAATATCATTGTTCGAGCTCTTCAAAGTCAGTCGCAGAATAAATGTCGTGGTGTTAAAGAGATCTGTATTTGATGAAAATAAAGTAAAAAAAAAATTTAAAGTATAAATTTATAAATTAATTAAAAAAACAAGAATATATATTTAATAATGTAAATTATAATTTATTTTAAATATAAAATTCTTATTTATTATTTTTAAGTTTCATATTAAATTAATTTTATTTATTTGAACTTGCGAATTTTATACAAAAGAGAGTTTTCAAGAAATAAAAAGAAAAAATATATAAAAATTTTTAATTTACTGTTATACAGAAATCAATAATTTCATTAAATTACATTTTAAAAATCAGAAATTTTTTAAATTTATTATACATAAAAATTTACAATGAGTAGTCGAATTGGACGACAAATATCAGAGCTCTCAGATATGAGTGCATCAGAATTAAATGAAGCTATTGATGATACAAATTTTCCGCAAGCTCATATATTATCAAGACGTTTTAGTAACAGTATATGCAGTATTAATAGCTCATCACCAAATAGCTATGAAACAAATAATTCAACAACAAATAATAATTATAAGAATTCTGTTATGAATGGTTCTACAGCTGATGTTAATGATAAAATTGAAAATGATAAGCAACAACATTTTTTTAGTAATACTATTGAAGAAGAAGAGAAATATAATTTAGAAAATGGTAAAGATAAAATAAAATCATCATATTCTATTGATGGTTTTTCAAATGATAAATCAACGAATAGATCAAATCATCAAATTGGAACATCATATATTGAATCAACACCATCATTATCATCAACAACTGGTATAAATCATAATCAACAACAGACCCAACAATCATCATCATCATCATCATCAAAATGTACATTAGTTAGACGTACATCATTAACACCGGGACATGAAAATTGTACATTTCATCATGATCTTGAATTTGATCATAAACCACCAACAAGAGAAGCATTATTACCAGAAATGTCAAGATCATATCGTCTTTTATTAAGTAGTTTAGGTGAAGATCCCGATCGTCAAGGTTTATTAAAAACACCAGAACGTGCTGCTAAAGCAATGTTATTTTTTACAAAAGGTTACGATCAAAATTTAGAAGAAGTATTAAATGGTGCTATTTTTGATGAAGATCATGATGAAATGGTTGTTGTTAAAGATATTGAATTTTTTTCAATGTGTGAACATCATTTAGTACCATTTTATGGTAGTGTATCAATTGGTTATCTACCATGTAATAAAATTTTGGGTTTAAGTAAATTGGCACGTATTGTTGAAATATTTTCAAGGAGATTACAAGTACAAGAACGTTTATCAAAACAAATTGCTGTTGCTGTTACAAAAGCAGTACAACCGGCTGGTGTTGCTGTTATTATTGAAGGTGTTCATATGTGTATGGTTATGCGTGGTGTACAAAAAATTAATAGTAAAACAGTAACATCAACAATGTTGGGTGTATTTCGTGATGATCCGAAAACACGTGAGGAATTTTTAAATTTAGTTAATAAATAAAATTTTATGATTTTCATCTCTATCATTAAAAATTTTTGTGATATATTTTTTATATTGATTTTATTATTTTATATTTTATGTATTTTATTGGAAAAAAGAAAGATAAGGTACGAGTATAATTAAAAATATTTGAACGCATAATAACTGGTAATGAAACTGTTCTTTTAAATTTCTTTTTTCTTTCAAATTTTTTTTTTTTTATAATTTTATTTATTGAGTAATTTATTGTAATGTTAATGTGCAAATTCTTTAACTAAACATAATGTGATTAAAATATTAAAAGTAAATATAAATGTAACAATTAAATTATAAAATTTTAATGTAATAAGTATATATAGAGATTTGTGTTAATCTTACAAAAAATAAAAATTTAATTATTGTTAAATGTAAAAAAAGTGAATAAAAATATTTTATGCAATAAGTAACTGCTATTAAAAAATATAGAAATTTTATTTTGTAAAAATTTTCATTATTTTAAAGGTTAAAATGCGAATTGACTTAAGATAAAAACAAAATGGAAGTAGAAATATTAAAATTAATTATGATTTTACGAGTCTCGAATGTTGAATTCCAAAACTACACTTGAAAGAATATTAAAATTTAATTTTGTTGGCATTAGAATTTATCCGCCTATTTTATTTAATATATACTAAATTACCTAAATTAATACAAAAATTCACACTGATTAATGCAAATACATACAAAATTTTAAAATATTAAAATTAATGAACCATTGTACTTTAAGCAAATATTAAACAAATTGTTAGCAATTGGTAGTAAAAGAAAAAATTCAGGTAAGTTCTGTAAATTTATGGTTGTATAAGTTATACAAGTGTAATATACATAAAATTAATGTTACTGGAACATAGACTGCCATTTCAATTTTAATTTGAATGGTTTATTAATAATTTATTACGTAAATTAAAAATTTATTAATTAAGAATTGAAAACAATTTTCAAAAACTCTTTTAAAAAATTTTTAAAATTTTAAATTTTTGAGATAGAAAACTGAGTCAGATGATTGATAAGAGTGCAATTTTGCTAAAGTATATACACTACAATCTATACTTAACCTCTTTAATTTGTTGAAATTTATATTGAGAGCTCCAGAACAACTTAATTGTTATAATTTTTTTAAATTAATTATATATAGTTTTTTAATTTCTGATTGGAAAATTTCAATTTCTATAAAAATATTTTGTAAAGAATTTTAGAAATATTAATATTTTTTATTACATTCACATTGTTGCGCAAATTTCTTTATGTAAACTTTTCAAAAATAATTAAATTTGATATGAAATTTCTTAATAAATTTATACCAATCATTTATTTAATTTTTGAAGAAAGTTTGATAAAATCTTAATAAATTTAAACCAACTTATTATAAATTTAAATTTTTGTATTGCCTTCATAACCCTTTTATCATGGATTTTATAACTCTATTAAATTTTATTTGAAACAAATTTATATTAATTAAATTAATACATTTAAATTAATATTAATTTTTCTCTTTAAACATTTGATTACGATTTCGAAACTAGTTGAAGCAAACTAACTAAATCATTGGAATACGGATTTAGAAGGTGAAATAATTAATTAAAATTTGTAAGAAAATTAAAAACACGTAATTAATTTTGTCAACTTTCGTTTGTAACTACAGAATTAGTCTCAATTTTTTTTTAAAAACAAAATAATTTTAATTTTTCTCATAATATTTCCATGAAAGAATAATAATAAAATATTTCCTTTATTCATACTGCATTTTTATACTTTAAAAATAATCTGTGACCTAATTATAAAAATTTTATGCATTTCTGCCAGAAAATAACAAAATTAAACAAAAATTTAATTCTTATTGAATTGCTCACATTTCCAAAATAATGAAATCTATGCAGCAACCTGTTGTTGTTCCTCTCAACTAAATAAACAAAAAAATTTTATAATTATTTTTCTTTTAATACCAATAAAATTTTATTAAAATTTTTGTTAAAAATAAATTATTTTTTTCAAAATAATTTGGAATGGATTACGTAAATAATGATAAAAAAAAATTATAATCTCCTTTGGATTCTTTATAAAATTTTGGTAAATTTAAATACCTACATAATTATTTCCAGCTCAACTCAAATAAATTGTTTTCCGTCTATTTCACCCCCTCTTAACGTTTTAAATTATAAAAGGTAGGAAAACAAAAACATGAACAAATCATAAAACAAGATTTTTATGATTTGCAACATTTTAAAAAACCAAAAAAAAAAAATTTTTATTTTTCAAGAATTTATTATTCGTTTTTTTATTTTTTTTTTTTTTTTGGAAAATTTTTGAATATTATAAATTAAATTTTAAATTGTTATTTTTATTGGATGGAAAATTGGTTTATAAAAATTAAAATTTTCATTTTAAATGTGGAGAAAATTTTAAATAATTTATTACGGGTTAAAAATAAATGAATTTTTTCGAATAGGAAATTCCATAGCAATATGAAAACTATTTTGTGATACAAACTAGGTAGGAAGGTGGCTAGATAAATGATATTTATGTGAAATTTGTAAAGAAAGTTTGATAAAATCATAATAAAAATTTTTTGCTCATTGCATAGATAAAATGTTTGTGTTTTAAATTCTTGAAATAATTTTTTGTTGAAAAAGTTTTCATTATGCATTCCCATGGTTGTATGTGAGTATATATTTTAAAATCTTTTCTATTTATTAAAAAATTGATTAATGCAACCCTGACTTTTAAATTATTTGAAGATTTCATATTATTTAATATTAAGTGATGTTTGGCATTAAGATCAGTTATATATGATGATGCACTGGATATCTATAGATCAATTTTGTTCTACAATTATTAGCAAAAAATTTATTTTAATATTTGCAACTTATATATATACTAAGTATTCAATCCAAAATTTTAAGATTTTTTAATACTAATCTATTTTAACATTGCAAACACTTACTAATTCCAGAAATTTTAATGAATTATATGTACAATACTTATAAAATCCAATATGTAATTTTTTCTGGCATGTGCAGTACTAAATTAAATTTGTTTTTTAATTCATTTTAGAGAGCTAATTTTAGAGAGCCATATGTGACATAGTTTGAGCTCATTCCTACGTGGTTCTTATCTTCAATAATATGTTTTTAAAAATTAGTTTTTGGTTTATTTTAAATTTAATAAATTTATGAAATACCAATTTGTTTGTCAGAATACAAAACCCTAAAAAAATTTCTAAAGATGGGCATTTAAAGAAATTTCCTTTTACTTTATTTTACAACCTCAAATAATCAATATTTTTATAGTCAAGTCATTGGGATTTAACTATAGCCACCTGTGATAAGCCTGCCAAGATTTGTTTTTAATATTGATATTATTTTTATATTATGGAAATTTGGTAATTATTTTTATAGTAATTTTTAATGTTATGTATTGTATTTTAGGAATATATAATATTATATGTAAATTACTAGACCATTGGTCGGAAACTTGCTAAATTAGAGGAAGAAATCAACAAACTTACTTCAACTCATAGGGAAATTAAAGCGACAATAATTGGGACAACAAATTCACTAATGCAAATATTTCTCTTATCATAGTATTTGTCTTAACTAAGTTCAACTGCTTTATGTTTTTAATTATTATAAAATGCAAGTTAAAATTATTAACTTTTACATACACGAACGTACACATTTTCATAAAAATTTTCTATAAATAAACTATTAAATGTAAGATAATTACTTATCCATTCGCTTCACATACATATATATATATATATATATAAATAATATTAATGAATGCAAAAATATGCATCTGCATTTTAAATTCTACTACTATTACTTACGAGCTATTATTAAAAAAAAATTTCATTCGAGACCTTTATACTGACCATCGCTTTTTTTTAATGTCTCTAATTACACAATTGACTTTTATAATATCTACAATATGTGTACTATATATATATATACGTACTATATATATGTATCCATATACATGGATGTATATTTACAAACTTATACACCATGTTTCATTTATATTTTCTTAAACATATTTAGTTTTTTTTTTACTCTTTGTATAACATGTCATATTTGTACACGTAATATGCACATAATATTTACCGCAATTTCCACACATTTGTCATTATTACATATTACTATTATTATGATTATTATTTTACATTGGTATAGAAACATGTTTATATATAGATCTATATGTTGTACTCGTATATATTAGTCTATAGGTAGATGTTATATGCAATTTTAAAGTATAATATTATTTAAAATTTAATAAGTATAATTTTCGTTCTTCATCTACCAAGTTCTGATACATATATATGTATATGGTAGGTATATATTATGTGCATACAAAGTATTTATATAGTAATTACAGTTAATGATCATATGATATGTATTTACGTGAATTATAATACGTGAGCCAGAAATAGTGCTTGAATCAATAAAGAAAACTCTTTGTTTAATGGAATAACAAAAAATTATAGGTATTAAAGTTATACTAATAAATTGTGTATGTAAACAGTCCCACAAATTCATACGAAGTATAACTATATTTAGATTTTATATTAGAACTTGCGTTAATAAACGATTTTTTTTATACATAAACATAAGCGACTCGAGACATTTATCTTCGAAACAATTATTATATTTACAAAATGAAAGTACTCATACTCGCATAGAATTATTCTAATTATATATTTAAGTTATGGTATGATATATGATTCTAACAGTTCTCAAACATAAAATATGTATGTTGATTTAGAATATATGATTAACTAAAATGTTCGAGAATAATTTTTCACAATAAATACGAAAAATTTAAATAATATGACGCATGTGTATTATGTATGTCAATTATTTCAAGCGCAATATTTTAATTAACGTGCATTGATTTTAATATTATTTTACATACATATATCAATTTATTTCCATCAATATTCTCGAAAAACTGCAATGAATTTGTCCTAATCCCATATTGTTTAGATTATTAGACGATTTATATAATATGAATGTATAAGTAAAACCCTTAGAGTTAAAATGGTGCAACTTCAAAAAGCAATATTTTCAGCTTATTAGATTAAAAAATTTTTATTGTTTAAAATAAAATTAAGTCTTATGAGTGAGAATTTTGAAATTTGAATAAAAAGTGTATTGTGAATTTTTTTGTATGTAAGGCAATAAAAGATTTTGTAATTTTGTATTTAAGTTTTAATATCTTAATAGAAACGCGAAAGAGTTTACTCATAGAG